GATGAATAACTGTTGCTTTTATAATAGCATTGTCTTACACCTAAGCCTTCTCAAACAACAGCTTTGATAGAATATGAGCAGAAAAACAGGATTTTGGTCCAATGGCAGTCATTTTGATTGACGTCATATACTGACCGCCATGGAAAACGCATCACTTAGTTTTTCGTATAACAAAATGATCCTGTAAACATATCTTTTTTATTTTGCTTCTTATTGTGAACAATATTCAAATGGGAACACATCAATAACAACACATTTGTACACTTATGGATGTTTAATCTGTAATCAACGGTACAAAGTCAGAGGGGTCAAACCCAAAAGTATGACACAGATGTCCTCCACGAGCTCTTACGCACGCTGTGCAATGACGTCGCATGAAATTTACCAATGTTTGAAAGAAAGCCTGTGGAAAATTGTTCCATTCTTGGACAAGAGCAGCTTCTAAAGCAGCAATGGTGTGCATCTGTGGTCTCCGATACAGACGGCGTCCAATCTCATCCCAGACAAGTTCTATCGGTGCCATGTCCGGAGACATGGCTGGCCAGTCCAAGACATTGATGCTGTAAGCAGCCAGGTAGTCCATACTAAAACGCGCGGTATGCGGACGTGCATTATCCTGTTGGAAGTGCTGAAGTTGTGGGTGCGCTCAAAACATCGGAACAACAAGACATCATCACGGTAGGCTACAGTATTAACGCGACCCCTGCAAATGTGTAGGGCGGTACGGTGATGAAATATGAAGCCTCCCCACACCATTACACTTCCCCCACACCTGCGAAGACGCAGTAGTCTGCAAGACGTTCCCCAAGACGTCTCCACACACGTTGACGGCCATCAGCGTGATAAAGATGAAAGCGACTCTCATCACTGAAGAGCTCATTTTGCCAGTCTCATTTTGCCAGAAACATCGGAACAACAATTGGTTGCAAGACATCATCACGGTAGGCAACAGCATTAACGCGACCCCTGCAAATGTGTAGGGCGGTGATGAAATGTGAAGCCTCCCTACACCATTACACTTCCCCCACCCCATCGATTCGTTTCGAAGACGCAGCAGTCTGCAAGACGTTCCCCAAGACGTCTCCACACACGTTGACGGCCATCAGCGTGATAAAGATGAAAGCGACTCTCATTACTGAAGAGCACACTTTGCCAGTCTACTCTTCTCCATGTCTGGTGTCCTTGAGCCCATATCAAACGCTGCTGACGGTGATGATCCCTGAGGATAGCTCCAACATAAGGTCGTCGTGCACGGAGTCCTACTTCACTTAGACGAAGTCTTACAGTGTTGGCACTTACTGGTCCTTGTCTTCCGACGACTGCTGCACCTGTTTGAGTCGCTGGGCGGAATCTGTCACGCAGATGAGTGACCCGGATGTAGCGGTCTTGAGCCTGGGTTGTAACGTGTTGTGGACCAGGACGTTGACGGTCACGTGTTCATCCAGTAACTCGAACACGTTCCACCAACCTTACAATAGTGGACTGATGACAATTGAAGTGTCTGGCAATAGCACGTGTAGACATGCCAGCCCTGGACATTCCCATGGCTTCATTCCGTTGATTTTCAGTAAGTCTCTGCATCTCTAGCTCGATTCCTTCACACGTCCAACAACAAATTACGACAGATTGACGTTTCACAGTTCATGTACTGCACATTAAGTTGAAAACATGCTTTTAAGGGACTCACATACAATGCTGCACGTGAATATTGGGTTTTTCATGTGCATCTTGTGCAATTTTTTTTTTGTGCACACGGGCCGATATTTTTTGCGTTTGGGAGCATTGTGTGAAAAATAGTTCATAGTATTGCATAATATTATACATACAAAACCACCTAGTAATAAAATATTTGGGAAAAAAAGTGATGCGTTTTCCATGGCGCTCATTATATTTCGATCCTTTGCGGTAGCTCAATTTCAGACAACTTTTGATATGTTGTTCTCTGGACCAAATACTATAAGAAAATACAATAAAACATCTTCTTGCAATTATTTTAGGGTTATTCTGCAATTTGACTCTACTATATACACTAAGTTTCATCACTCTCTATCAGATAGAATCAAAGTTATCTTGTTCCAAAGATATCAAGCAATCAAACTGATTATCAACTATACACTAAGTTTCATCACTCTCTATCAGATAGAATCAAAGTTATCTTGTTCCAAAGCATCGGCCAATGAAATTGCTTACCTCTGTTTAGCTTTAGCTCGAAATGTTAATCACTGAACTCGATCAAGACATTCACCTAATGAACATCTACATCAAGTTTAAACATTCTACCTTAATTAAAGGCAGAGTTGTTATGTTCCAAAGTCTTGACCAATCAAATTGCCTATCGATCCTTAGCCTAAGCAGAAAATTCTCATCATCAAACTTAGTCAAGGTAATAATATAATGAATCTATACTCACTCTCACTTAATTAAAACCAAAGTTATTGGCCCTAAAGCATCAACCAATCAGATTGCTTATCTCTGCTTACCGTAAGCAAACAATGTTTATCATCAAACTCCATTAAGGCATTGACCTAATAAACACCTACACCAAGTTTGAACATTCTAGCTCAATTAGAAAGAGAGTTATTAAGTGTGTCCCAAAAAGTGTGACGGACAGAGGGACGGACGAACACATTTTAATAGTCCCCTACTTTCTTCGATAATTACAGATGATATTCTTGATTCTTAAAGTATTAAGCAAACAATATGTATTTATAATCTAAATGAGTGTTGAACAGCATTGATCAATAAAGGCAGCTCATTATTGAATGTTATCATTCAAAAGCAATAAAAACAAAGATAATACAAGTATATTTCCTAAACAAATTTGAACCTCTGGCAGTCAGGGTCTAAAAACTTCATACTGTAATAGCCATGTGGCTATTTATATCTATTTATATTTATACCGTAGGCCTAGTAAATAACATCTACTCCCCATAAAGCCTGTGTTGTGTTGTTGTTCTATTTTTAGATTGTTGACCTCTTTCTATAAACGTCACACCAGGTACGTTCATGTGAGGGAATCACAAACCTTTTTTTTTTGTGATTACTTTGAATGAAACAAAAGTGCCCTGTGTTATGTCCATACAACTAGTAGATCTAACGATCATGCCGTGGGTGTAGAGTGTAGCGCCGACACTAATGTGTTGGACGGAATAGGCCTAGTACAAAGTTTCATTGACTGGAGTGGTAGGACCAACCCGAGTGACATCTTTCCTTCTAACCTTTGGAACAAGTATGATAATCGAATCAGCGTGTAACCATTAAAGATTATAACACCTTACCTGAATTTAGCCTCCGTCTAGTGATCGCCACCCATTTATAGGAGTTCAAGAATTACTTCATAATGCCCTTGTTTCATACTCGCTACCGAGCGGCTATGTTCGATTAGTTGTAGACTACGGTAGACCAGAAACCTGTTGTTTGATCGTAATAGTCACTTGCTTAGGTCCTGCCACTCGCACTTTGTCCTAGTCCTATTTATGACGAACATGGAAATAAACATCACAACTACTAATGGGGGTCGTACTTGATTGTCCCGCACATAAAAACACATTTGAAGATGCAGCTTTGATACACAACTATAGCCTAGTACTACGAAGCACGACAACGATACATGGAGTGGGGAGATGACGTCTAGATTACTACGCCGTTTTGACGGCGGTTTTGCTGATAAATAAATGCTTTGTGCGGACTATTAAGCATGTTTTCATGGCCATACTGACTAATTTTGTGTACATTATTCCTGTAGGACTAAACTCCTAATAATCTGCTGTGCCCAAATGTTATCCCGACTCTTTATAATTGTAATTGAATATTTCAAGCGTAGCATACACCTTGATAGGTTGCATCGGCGATGGCAACAGGTTAGCAACAGGTTGCGAATGGTTGCATTGGGTGGGATGGCTATAATTAATTAATTACGAGGGCCCAATGCTGAATATTGGCCCTGAATGATAAATAATATGTTTTTAGGCAGTTATAAACCAAACTGCCTTTCGAAATATTGCTTGTTTTATTAAATTGTACATTTGTAATTATGAAAGTAGATCCTTCCTAGGCATGGGTTGCATGGGGTTGCATGGGGTTGCAAGAGGCCGCGTGAATACCGTAATGTCATTGGTCGACAGACCCCACGTGACTGATACTTTGGCAAAGTCTATATAAAGCGGTGAACTCGTTAGAAATGGCATTCTGTCTTTGACGCTCTTAGGGTAAGCACCGTAAGAGTACATAACTCTCCCGCACTGCTCTTATAATAATTTGTGCCGTTTTATGCAATTTTTAACTCAGTAAGACTTATCGTACTCCTTTTAACTAAACCCCCCTAACTAAAAAATAGACGATTAAGATTATTTGTAAAGCCTCAATGCCATTTCGTCAACTAACGGGCGCCGTACAACGAGAAAATAATCAAGGTTAAACGTCGTTCCTTAACTAAACCCCCCTAACTAAAAAATAGACGATTAAGATTATTTGTTCCTTAACTAAACCCCCCTAACTAAAAAATAGACGATTAAGATTATTTGTAAAGCCTCAATGCCATTTCGTCAACTAACGGGCGCCGTACAACGAGAAAATAATCAAGGTTAAACGTCGTTCCTTAAATATATAAAAGCAGAATTACTCCCAGGTAGAAGTCGAGGAAGGATCTAAATCACCCAACGATTATTGTATTATTACTGTAAATATAGAACAACGTCCGTAAAGATAATAAATCCATTATTATTATTATTTATATCCTCTTACAGTTTTTATTTAAAGTCAAAGTCAACTCAAGGTCATACCGAGGGCGGCTACAATACATATTACACTATTTGCGAAGAAATGAGCTTTTTCACGAAATTTGAACTCAACTGTAAGAGTGACAGTACACGAAAATGTGGGCGCATAAAAAGTGTTATTTAAATTCTCCCTTTTTCTAATGTAACCAGCCCTTTGTTTAGTAACTGGACAACTTAGTGATCTGTGACAATTTACAAAGTAACAGCATAAAAAATACTTACGGTTCAGTAAGATCATGAGTAATAAAATCTGAACTTTTTAACAACAGATATACATCACAGGGACATGTACATTTCAGTGTTTTATCAAAAGAAATCCATGTTGCATCCTACAAAATTATAATTTATTATACAGTAAATATTTTATTATTATTTTTATTATTATTTTGGTGTATTTCTATAGCGCACCTTTCACAAAGTGCTCAGATGTGCTTTACAATACAATAAAATTATAAAATGCAGATAGAAAATACAACTAGAACTGCGATGCAGTAATGACGGGTTTCACCGTGCCCCGTTACCCTTGAACATATGTCACTTCCGGTACCGATAAAACCATTAAACAGGTTTCCATTTAAGCATTGCACACATCACATAAAATGTACGCAGAATCAACCAAATCCGGCAATATCAATTCATTGTATACATTCATTACATGTAAGTGATCCTGACAACATTACATTACTTCCGGTGATAATGAAAATGTTAAATTAGTTTCATAAAATCAGAAATAGCATAAGGCATCACATGGTGAAACTTTTATGTAAATCGAATAATATTTGCCACTTTTATAGACCAAAATCCTTAAAAAGTGACTTGTAGAAAATCGTCTATTTCTCTGCAACTGTACAAGTTAGAAACCATTTTTTGGTATTTGTATGATCGTGTGGGTTCAATCTATTTGTTGATTGGAATCAAATATCATAATTTTAAAAACAATACAAATCAGACTCATTTGAATAAAATATCTGTTTTGAAGGCTAAAAATACAGTTTTTGCCACAATGACGTTACTTCCGGTAACAGTAAAAGTGTTAAATTACTTGTATGAAATCGTAAATGGCATTAGGTATCACACACTGGAAATTTTATGAAAATCGAATAATAATTGACACTTTTATGGACCAAAAACCTTGAAAGGTTACCTGTTGAAAATCGTCTATTTCTCCGCAACTGAACAAGTTAGAAACCATTTTGTGATATCTATATGAACGTTTGGGTTCATTCTATTAGTTGATTGGAATCAAATATCAAAATTTTAAACAAATAACAAATAAGACTCATTTGAATAAATTACTGGTTTTGAAGGTTATAAATACAATTTTTGCCCAAATTACGTCATTTCCGGTGACATTGAAAATGTTAAATTGGTTTGACCTTGTTAAAATTGACATTACGCATCAAATGGTGTCACTTTTATGAAAATCGAATAATAACTGACTCTTATACAGGCAAACTAGCGTAAAAAGTGACTCATACAAAATTGCCCATTTCTCGGCAACTGTTCATATTACAAATTAATTTTCACATACATTCTCTTTGTATGGATTATTGTTACTAGTTTATGAAAGTTGCGAAGAAATATTTAAAAATATAAAAGGCCTGAATGGGTTGTGAATAGCTCATTTTTTCACCTTTTTTCACCTTTAAATCGAAATGATCCGAAAACAAAATAAAAATTAAAAAAACTGAGCGCGATGATTTCTGCGCATTAACAGGGCAAACCCTTTCAGTCATACCAGATTTGAAAAAAATAGTATTTGCTTTCAAAAAGTGGTACCGAACTCTCAAAATTGCAGTTTTTGCTAAATTTATGTTAATTCCGTTGCCGAAAGGAAAATGTACCGGTAACAAAAGAAATGAAATTTTGGACCGCGGAACATATGAACTTTGTTTTATTTATACAAATCGAACAATAAATAATTAATCCAGGACTGAAAAACTGAATTAGCCAATGGGGGCAAAGAAAAAATCAGATGACCCTTTAACCGTTGGTAAAATACCACATAAAAATATTCATTAATAAAAAAGTTTTTCGTAAAAATTTAAATTTTCAAAATTTGGCGCCTAATATCTCCGAAGATTCGTCGAAAATAAAAAATCCAAAGAACCTTAGCTATGTGCCTTGTCTCTGGCTATGTCAAAATGTATCAAATATTATAATCCAACAATTATTGATAACATTACGGCAAAATATCGAAAAACGACAACTTCGGTGATTTTGGACATTTCGCATTGTCGCAGAATGTTGGAAATAGCTTTAAAATTTAAGTCAAACCCACTTTCCCAGTAAAACCGAAGACATCGAATCGATCCGACAAGTAGTTTCTGAGATATGCTCAAATGGAAAAATAATAATAATAATAATAATAATAATAATGGAAAAATAATAATAATAACAATAATAATAAGAATAACAAGCCAACAGTGAGGCTGATGTCCCCCGCCGAAATAGGAAAATAATTAGAGGACACATATAAATTTATCACAAATTATCTTTTACAAAGTATTGAACAATCGTAGGAGAGTTATTGTTTTCCAAAGTCTCGACCAATCAAATTGCGTATCGCTCTGCTTACCCTGAGCAGAAAATGCTCATTATCAAACTTAGTCAAGGTATTACTGTAATGAAACTATACACCAAGTTTCATCAATCTCACTTAATTAGAACTAAAGTTATCGTGTCCCAAAGCATCAACCAATCAAATTGCTTATCTCTGCTTACCCTAAGCGGAAAATGCTCATCTTCGAACTCCATCAAGGCATTGACCTAATCAACACATACACCAAGTTTGAACATTCTAGCTCAATTAGGAAGAGAGTTATCGTGCCCCAAAGTATCAACCAATCAAATTGCTTATCTCTGCTTACCCTAAGCGGAAAATGCTCATCTTCGAACTCCATCAAGGCATTGACCTAATAAACACATACACCAAGTTTGAACATTCTAGCTCAATTAAAAGTTATCGTGTCCCAAAGCATCAACCAATCAAATTGCTTATCTCTGCTTACCCTAAGCGGAAAATGCTCATCTTCGAACTCCATCAAGGCATTGACCTAATCAACACATACACCAAGTTTGAACATTCTAGCCCAATTAGGAAGAGAGTTATCGTGTCCCAAAGCATCAACCAATCAAATTGCTTATCTCTGCTTACCCTAAGCGGAAAATGCTCATCTTCGAACTCCATCAAGGCATTGACCTAATAAACACATACACCAAGTTTGAACATTCTAGCTCAATTAGGAAGAGAGTTATTGTGTCCCAAAAAGTGTGACGGACAGACAGACAGACGGACGGACGGACAGACAGACGGACAGACAGACGGACGAACCCATTTTAATAGTCCCCTGCTTTCTTCAAAAGGCGGGGGACAATAATCCGAACAAAAACAATAGTGTTTGCAGTGTGAAACCCTAATAAAAACTAACACTGTAACCCAGGTATCATTTAATCTTGTCTATCTAGCACTAATTTCTTTCATATTCGTTTAATATCAAATCTTTGTTTAAAAATTAGTAAAAATCGTTTAAAATCACCAAAAATCATCTAATTTGTACTTGAGTCAAGTTTAGAGCTGACTCATTAATTTACAAGTGTTTAATTTCTCAAGCACTGTTAAAAAATTAATGATGTATGATGATTAATTTTTGAACAGTGGTCAGGAAATTAAATACTTGTAAATTGGCCACTCATTATCAAAATTGAATGGTCAGCTTTAAACTGGACAGAAGTACAAACAAGCCAACAGTGAGGCTGATGTCCCCCGCCAAAATAGCAAAATAAATAGATGACACATATTAATTAATCACACATAGTTTTTTCACTAAGTTTCATCACTTTCTATCAGATAGAATCAAGATTATCTTGTCCCAAACCATCGACAAATGAAATCGATTAGCTCTGCTTAGCTTCAGCTCGAAATGTTAATCATTGAACTCAGTCAAGACATTCACCTAATGAACATTTAAATCAAGTTTAAACATTCACCTAATAGACACCTACGCCAAGTTTGAACATTCTACCTCAATTAGAAGGAGAGTTATTGTGTTCCAAAGTCTTAACCCTTTAGCGGCGATTGGGAGCGATTATTTCACCAAACCTAACTATATCTAGAGAGAAACTATATATTTCAGGACATAGGAGCCGCATAAGGCGGATACAATGACACCACATACATGGCTACCAGTGGCTCCGGGAAAGCATGGACCTTCCCTGAAAAAGGGGTAAAAGCTATTTTTTGAACATTTTCGAAAAAAAAACCTGTGAATTCTACCCGCAAAAGACGAAAATGACTCCCAAAAATAGGTAATATTCAGTTTAACCCTTTAGTCGTGTTTCCGGCTGCAACCTGCGGCGGCACAAGCGCAAAATACTGTACATTTTAAACCAGCCCTAGTGCAGCTACACGCACGCATACTACATGGGATGTCACTCTTGCTTCCGCATCTGATGAGCCGCATGGCAGACTCCGGTCAACTGGAAGGGTGTCCGGTTGTAATGTTTTCAATTTTGTGTCCTTCACCCAGCCATACAGTTCCGGATCAAGTTCAGGCGGATTACGATCTTCCAATGAACGCCACACAATAGCATGGTGATGAGCTCTTTCTACATTCTCTGCAAATGCATCATTCGTTGGAGCAAGACTACACAGTTTAGGTGGGCTTGATGACGATACATTTCCAGTTTTGGATGCCCATACCCTCCAGCGTGTTTCAGACATCAATTTGCTAGAGCTCTGCCCATAACACACTGACATAAATGATATGGCTTGTGTAATCACCGATTCTATTGGAGAGTCTACTACCCCGAAGAGTGAGAGAGAATACAATCCAGCTCTCATCACTGTTCCTTTCCCCACACCGCAGCAGCATGCAACTGGTCACATCCAGTAAGAGCATGAGCTGGCAGGATTTCAGTGATAATAGATGCGTGTTTCTCCATAGTTTTACCAATGTCAATAGTTGTTCTTTCCTTGATTGGTGATTCCATTGTAACGCGATTCTTCATGTTGACTATGTGGTAGTAATGCACAAGAAGAACGAAGACATCGGTATCATCTGATATTACGGTTATGTCAGCTTGTGGATCACTTTGGGCACACATCATCACCTGCTGAACAATGATGTTGTCTGCTTCTTCATGTGTTGTTCCAAGATCTGTCCTGGTTATAACTAATCTCAACTGGGACAGCGTCCCCACCTATTTATGGTTCCTGGTATTCATGATGGAATGACTCATCTTCAATTCCCCCCAGTCCCTTCAAATTTAATCTTTTTCCAAGGTTTGTATATATAAGTGGGCCAGAAAATTATTTACATATTTAAAA